CAGATAGTGACGTCAGCAGGAGCGGGGTGAGTCACCTGGTCGGCACCGTCAGCCAGCTGATCGCGGCGCGCCGCCCGCGGCGTTGTGCTGAGGTCGGGCCACGTGACTGGTCTGGCCCGGTGGCGCTGTTGTCTAGGGGTGGCGCCAACGTCAACAGGGCGCCCCTGGCGGCAGCGGTCCCGCGCGGGCCTCGTCCGTCAGTCCGTCTGGCCGCGGCCGTCAGCGGGCTGCCCCCGAGGGACGGCCGGTCACGAGTGGTGCCCCCCCCCCCCCCCTCCCACGGCCGCGGCCGGCCAGCCCGCCTGGCACGCTGACTCACACAGCGACGGGACCGCCAGGGCTTCGGGAGGTCGATTGCTTGGACCGGAGCTCAACAGGTCCGATTTTTCGGCACGGCGCCGACAGTGGCTTTTGTACCCGGCTGAAGCGGTGTACCCAGCACGATCTGATAGCTGGTGTTACGGAAGATATGCCGGCCTGCGTCATTGACGAACGTGACCTTTATGATGTTCCGACCTTGTTTTGGTTCCGTGTTTTTGTAGGAAGGCCTTGGAAGAATCCGTCGTGACGTCACGGTATCGGGAGTTTTGTTGGCTCGGAGTGCGTACTTTTGGGTTAATAATAAATTGCAGTAATGGTTCTTCATCGCAGGGTGCCCACACTGCCTTTGGGTGCATTGTTTTGTTGTAAAATCAAGCAATCGCTGGATGGTCCAAGCAAATGTCATTGGCGTGGGCGATGTTTCAAGAACATGTGAGGAGTCACAAGGACCAGACAGTCTCCGGTAGTCGACAACTACGTGGTTCGTAGTCTGTGATGGCGTTCAGTGTCGGACGGAAACGAACTCGCGCCGCACGCTTGACTATTTGTGCCACTCTTTGACCCGTGTTTGCATGCCGGCTGGGTCCGCGTCTTGTGTGAGCGCCGTGACCAGTCCGGCGATGGCACACTCGGCCGTGATGGCCGGCTTCTGACGGCGGGGCGTGTGGTCCTGCGATGGGGCAAGCTACAGGTCGGCTTAGTCCGCGAAAAAAGCTGGGTGTTGGCAGGGACAAATAGCGTGTTAGAAGTTGTGTGTCATGCCCATAGCGAGGAAAATCGAAAAATTGCGTGCTTGTTTCTGCAGCTTCCCACGGTTTATTGTATCGTCTAGGCCGAAAAAGAGGCTCTCAAACTGGAAGGTGTTCATCTCAGCGCTCACCAATGTTGTTGTGGTGTGGCGACAAATTGTGAAACCCCACTCACGGATAGCCAAATCGCCCGTCTGAAAAAGTAGGACGCTGCAACCGGAACACGCGGCCGGTGTGCTGCAGTGAATACAGATAGATTCGTCACCATGGGTCGGCGACGGAGGTTGGTCGCTCGACGCCCGAACTGACAGTCTCTGTTGAGTCGTATGCGACCGCGACGGTTCTTGGGTGGTATCAGCTAACACTGGCGGACCACTGGGAACCAGCGGCATCATGCGCTCAAGGCTACGAAAATCATCACATTTTTTACATTGTCGCCATGGGCTGGCGCGAAAACGCCGGCTTCGCGCCTTTCCCGAGGGTCCACCAATGATGCTGCTGGACCTGCTGCTGCCAGCCCGGCCCCACCGTGCCTGTGGTGGCGGCGGTCGGCGCGCCGCGGTGGCGGTTCGGTGTACGGCGGTCAGTGCCTGTCCTGATCTCGCACGGCACCGGCGCTGCTCGCGCGGCGCCAGCCCGCTGCCGCTCCACGCGTGGTGGCCGGCGCCACCGGCTCGCCGTCCGGTCCCAGCCCGTCCACAAAAACCGGCCCTATTTCTAGCGGGGGCGCGCTTGAAGCCGGTCCTGCGGGGTACCTCTCGAAATAGAGCCGGCGATGAGGGCCGAGCGGCCGCCTCGACTCGGAGCTGGCCATGATTGTCACCGGCTGTAGAATATTGCGAGCTGACGGGATCGGCTGCGAGAGTGCGCGATGCAGTGCGTCTCCGCAGCATCCCACTCGACTTCTGCGCGTTTTCGGCAGCGTGAGTTCTGAAGGTTCTGCATAGGTTGTCCTGGGCGCAAAGTACATGCTAAGCAGAGCTGATGTGCGTCTGAGCCAAGATCCACGGGGCGCCGCCTCCGTTCGGGGAGCATTTTGCCCGCAGTCTTTCTCGTCACGCTTGTTTCGTCCTTGACGAAGTGGCGACGTCTCGCGTCCTGAGCGCCGGTGGGACGACCGCGGAGTCCTGCCGTAGGTGTCTGACCGGGACCGGGACGCCGCGCGAGCCGCCGTGGGTGTCTGACCGGGATCGGGGCCGGGACGCAGCGCGAGCCGCCGTGGGTGTCTGACCGGGACCGGGGTCGGGACGCAGCGCGAGCCGCCGTGGGTGTCTGACCGGGACCGGGGTCGGGACGCAGCGCGAGCCGCCGTGGGTGTCTGACCGGGACCGGGACGCCGCGCGAGCCGCCGTGGGTGTCTGACCGGGACCGGGACGCCCCGCGAGTCGCCGTAGGTGTCTGACCGGAACCGGGACGCCGCGCGAGCCGCCGTGTGTGTCTGACCGGGACCGGGGTCGGGACGCAGCGCGAGCCGCCGTGGGTGTCTGACCGGGACCGGGGTCGGGACGCAGCGCGAGCCGCCGTGGGTGTCTGACCGGGACCGGGGTCGGGACGCAGCGCGAGCCGCCGTGGGTGTCTGACCGGGACCGGGACACCGCGCGAGCCGCCGTGGGTGTCTGACCGGGACCGGGACGCCCCGCGAGTCGCCGTAGGTGTCTGACCGGGGGCGGGACACCGCGCGAGCCGCCGTGTGCGGGCGCCGCCGCGGCCGGCCGGACCCGGACAGGAAGTTCGGACGGTGCAGCGCCGCTGCGGGAAGTGGCGCTGATAGATACGGTGGTCGCCGGGTCCGGCCGCGGCTGCACCGAGACAAATCGAACGCTAACTCGACTGGCCGGGTGTGACGTGCCGCTTTGTGTGGCCCTGGGTGTCTGCCGCCACGTGGGCGTTGGGTGGGCCATGCCGCCGGGCTCAGTTGAATGTCACATGGTCGAACGCGAATGACCGAGGCTAGCCGACAGTGCCATGGTGGACATTTCTCGCGGCGGAATTTTGTTGCGGGTGCTCAGAAAAGATGTCCAACTTGTTGCACGCTCCATCTCGGTGAAAAGCCTCGTCTAGTAGTTCTGCAGTGGTCGATTTTTGTGGGTTTTGTAAATGTGCGAGCCACTGTTTGTAATTCGAAATATTTTTCTAGCTTCAGTCGTCATCTTGAGCATATCAGCGCCTCTATGCCACGCGATTGTCGAATTTACTGAGCAAGCTGCGGTTGATGCCCATGCTGTTGGCTTCTTAGTTATTATTAGCCGCAGATATAAGCAGTCGAGAGTAAGCACAGAAGGCATGCAATTCGCAAGCTGAATGCAGCGTTGCTACTGGTTGCTGCTGTCTTGGTGAAGGTTAGGATTGGAAGGACCCTTGGGTCCCATTGTTTTTGGAGCAAATGAAGCAGCCATTCAATTTTCCGTACGCTGTTGCAGCCAGCAATTGATTGTGGACGTGAATTATTGAAGAAGTTGTAATCACAGCTCGTTCTTGAAATGCTCGATCCCACCTGATTTTGCGAAAGCACGCGCGCGGTTACGACGAAGTAGCTGATGGTTTGCTGTGTCGCCAACAGATGGCGGTAGCGTGGCCATCCTGCCGGTGAATGAGACGGGCCGGCAGGACCACGGTCCGCCGCTGCTGGCCGCGCACGCCGACTGCGTCACCGACATGACCTTCTCGCCGTTCGATGACGGCCTGCTGGCCACCGGCTCAGCCGACTGTACGGTAAGGCTGACCTGGTGACCTGGTAATTTGCTGACTTGGTGGCCTGGTGGTGTGGCCCACGTTCTGACCTCGTCTATGTGGTGACCCGGCCTGTGCTGTGATGCGACCTACGTGATGGTGTGACCCATATGGTAACTGAGGTCACATGGTGTCGCAGCCTGCAGTTAGTGGGAGCACAGGGTGAGGTGAGCCAGGCCGGCGGACGACTGACCCCTCCCCTCCCCCACTCCCCTCTGACAGGTGCGGGTGTGGAGCGTGCCGGAGGGCGGCCTGGAGCCGGGCCTGGAGCCGGAGCTGTCGCTGGACGCCGCCGACCGCCGCCTAGAGCGCGTGCTCTTCCACCCGACCGCCGACTGTCTGCTGTCGGCCGCCTTCGGCACCACCGTCCGCCTGTGGGACATCCTGCACCAGAAGCAGCTGTATTGTGAGCGCGCCTTACGCTGCCGTCCTTGGACTCGGTTGTTGGATAACCTGTGGGATGAGCATATCTTATGTGCGTCTGCTAACCACACCCCGCAAGGGTATTAGGCGCCGTGCCAAGCGAGATCGAGTGCACTTACATTCTACTGTTGTGAGCAGCGATGAACTATGGTGATATACTGGTATGTGGCTTTAGTGGAATGTCCCAAAGCTTGCTATGCACGCAGTCTGTAACGCCCCCACATGCAGTGTGTGACCCCCACGACCCTCACGTCCAGTGTGGGACGGCCTCATGTGCACCGGCGGTGTCGGGCCCCCGTCTCGCGAGACCCACAGCCTGACGCACTCCCCGGCGCCACCTGTGACCCTCGGCCGTGCTGTCACCAGCCTGGGACGGCCACGGTGACCAGGTGCAGTCCATGTCGTGGCGCGGCGACGGCGGCTGCCTGGCCACCACCTCCCGCGACACGCTGCTGCGCGTGCTCGACCCGCGCGCCGACAAGGTCTGCCACGAGGGCGAGGCGCACGTCGGCTCCCGCGACAGCTGGGTCACCTGGCTCGGCTGCACCGAGAAGCTGGTCACCACCGGCTTCGACCAGGTCGGCAGACGCCACGCTCTGGCGGGGCTGGCGGGAGGTTCTCCGTCGATGCCCGGCTGCGTGCCACAGGGATGCCAGCCTGCCCCCCCCCCCCCGCAGTGCGGCGCGGTCACTGGTTGGCTCGTCCGGTGTGGGCTCGTGGGACAGCGTGTATGCCTGCGTGCCTTTGTGTCTGGTTCGTTGTCATGTCATCCCCAAAGTAACGTTGTCTGATATGGCTCTCACGATTCGACTCGGTCGTGGTGCTGGGAATGTTTGTCGCCGTGCGGCCGGCGGTTTACGGCGCTGGCGTGTCCGGACGTGCTCTGGCAGCGCAGTCCGTCACGTGACGGGCGGTGGCCGCGCGGTCCGTTTCAGTACCGGCAGCGGCAGGTGACGCTGCGCGACCTGCGGAAGCCGGAGCGCCCGCTCAAGACGCTCACCTCCGACAGCTGCACCGGGTGAGCCGCCGCCGACGGCCACCAGCTGGCGCCAGCTGCCGCATGGCGCAGGAGGGCGCCGGGTGATCACTGGGCGAGGCCCCTCGCCTCGCTGAGCGGCTCCCCAAACTGCTGAATGGGTGCAGGTGTTGGCTTCGGGCTGGCTGGTTCGCCGGGCTGGACGATCCGCGTTGTATCGGGTGGCTGGCGCCAGTGCCGCACAGTGATAGCTCGCTCAACATCACACCCCTCTTCAAGCGAGCTGTGTCTCACACGACTGCATTTTCACCGGCAGCGGTTGGATGGCCGTACCGCACGTGACTCACGCCTTACTTGACGTGAGCGACCCGTTTCGTTGCAGGATCCTGGTGCCGCTGTACGACGCTGACACGGGCATGCTGTTCTTGGCCGGCAAGGGCGACACCTCCATCTCGTACATGGAGGTCACTGACAAGGAGCCGTTCTTCGTGGAAGGGATCAAGCACACCGGTGGGTGCTGTTGCTAAATCTGTCGACGAGAGGCAACTCTCACTCAATACTCGTTAAGGCTGTATTGTATTGTATCGCACTGCGTTCGCGGTTTGGACGGTTTGGGCCGTGCCGCGGGCGGCAGCTTTGCACGGAGCTCGCGGGGGAAGGGGTCGGTTGCGGCCTGTGGCGGGCTTGGAGGTAGGCTTGCGGTGTGCCGTTGTTTATTACAGCATAGGGTTTTGCACGCTGGTGCCCTCAGTGATGCGGCATTTGTCTGTGTTTGCTTGACGGGGGCTCTGTATGTGAAGCACCCACTGCTGAAAGCCTGGCCTGACGTCTCGCCCGGCACTCTGTCACGCTAGAAGTGCGCGTGTGTGTGTTCGTGTTTGATTTGTCGCTGTCGAGTCCAAGCGCCTGAAACTCCACGCAACGCTCGGCTTCATCGGCGCCACGTCTCCGCACTCTGCAGGCGAGCAGACGAAGGGAGCGTGCCTGGTGCCGAAGCGCGCCCTGGACGTGATGAACGCCGAGGTGAACCGCATTCTGCAGCTGACCTCCCAGGCGGTGGTGCCGATCACCTACCAGGTGCCCAGGAAGGTGAGCAGGATCCGGCGGGCACAACGCGTTTGGGTCCTGGTGGAGCTCAGAGCTCGGGTCGTGTTGAGTGGCTTTCGTGACTCTCCCTGCGGGCGTTTCCTCAGTGTGCCTGGTCGTGTCACTTTTTTTCCTGTGAATGGCCGGCTGTACTCTACGGTCGGTTCGCGTGACTGACCGTAAAAGCGTCGGTGCATCCCCGGGCGCGCCCACCCCAGCCGGCAGCCCTTCGTACCCCCTGAGCCGCGGCCCGGCCGTGTGACCCCGCCTGGCCGCCGCAGACGTACCGCGACTTCCACGGCGACCTGTACCCGGACACGCCCGGCTGCGACCCGGCCATGTCGGCGGCCCAGTGGTGGGCTGGCGCCGACCGGCCGCCGCGGCGCGTCTCGCTCGACCCGGCCAAGGTGGTCATCACCGACCTGCAGGTGCGGACGGACCGGCGGCGCCACGCGCTCCGCTGCCCGCGGCCGGCGGCCGGGCCTCGTGAATGCCGAATGCGGATGCATGGTGGATAGTTAGTTATCGATGCGGTTAGCCCGAGATGGGCTGGCGGTGTGGTTGCGCCTTAGTGTGGATATCTTGCCGATTTAACCAGTACCTTATTTTCCCACTACCATCACTAGCCCGTGTTTTGTGTTCGTGTGCAGGCTCACACTAACATTGCTAATGCAGTTTTTACCGAGTGATGCTGCTCCGGTGCTTTTTCATTTGAGTGTGAATAACATGGTCGGCGCGCCTTACCAGCGGCGGCGGGGCCGGCTGGTGGACAGACATAACGAGCCAGAGCCATCTGGTGAGGAGGCAGACAACAAGAGCCTCTCTGAGTCCACACCAGAGGTCAAACACGTTCCCTCAAAGCCGACGCCGCTGGCCAAGCCCACAAACCTGGGGCCCAAGGTATGCTGGGTTGTCTGGACCCCCCGCTGTTAAGCTGAGCGACGGAGCGCCGCATGACGGCCGGAACATGAGTATTATTTGGATTGCACATAGGGACGCATGCTAACTATTGTACTCTAGCCTTAGCCTGCTTTTCTTAAACGGACAGGCATTATGCCGGGTGGTTGCGGATGGCCACCTCTTGCTCAAGTGTACATTATGCGGACTCGTGCGCACCTGTGCCCCCCCCCCCCCCGCAGCATAGCACCACTGCATGTGTCTCGAACCCCCGCCGAAGGAGAGGTGTCTCAGAAGCAGACGTGTTACGCTGTGTGCTCTGCGGCACACTGCGGGGTCTGTGCCGTCTGCTGACCAGAACTTACCGCGCAGCAGCCCCTGATGGCTGAGGGTGACCGGCCACGCGCCGCGTGTCTCTCGCCCCCTCAAATGCAGCCGCCTCAGCTACGATCGCGGTTTCAGCCGTACGCGCCGCCCAAGCCGGCCGCGGTGTCGGTGCGGCCCGAGCCGCCGCCGCCGGCCGAGCAGGCGCCGTCGTCCGACGCGCCGGCCCCCTGGCGGAGGCCGCGGCCCGCCGCCGGCCCCAAGCCGGCACCGAAGCCGTCGGCGCCAGCACCAGCGCCGGAGCCGGCGCCGGAGCCGGAGGACGGGGTGGAGCTGCGCCGCGCCGCCGGTGACGCGCCGCCGCCGCCGCCGGCCGAGCGGCAGGAGGAGGGCGCCGGCGAGCGGCGCAGCGCCTTAGAGCTGCGCAGAGCCTACGAGCAGCGTCTCAGCTCTGTCGAGGAGAAGCCCGTCTCGCCACCCATGCCCAAGCGCACCTCGGTCAACAAGTCGTTCCGTGAGTGGGGCGCGGCTGGCGGGAGTGGGCTGAAGGCCGGTGGGGGTGGGCCGAGGGCTGGCGGGAATGAGCTGAAGGCTGGCGGGGTGGGCTGAGGGCTGGTGGGGGTGGACTGAAGGCTGGTGGGATGGAATGGAGAAGGCCGCTTCATGGCCGCTGGTGGTGGCAGTGTTGGCTGAATAGCACGGCGCGTGTTTGCGGCCATGTCACTGTTCGCATCCTTTGCCGATACGTTTTTGCCGGCTGACCTCCCCGCCGTGTCTATTGCACCAGGACGCGTCAGCAAGTGTCGGTTCATGAAGGCCACGCCGGTGCACAAGTCCGAACAGTTCGAGAACATCAAGAACCTCAACAAATCGACCACCAACGAGTGCAACGGCATCTACGGTGCGTTCCGGACGGGGCCTCGGCAGTGGTGCTCCGCATTGCGCCGCCGCAGATTATCTGCACGTTACGGCGCGATTGTCGCCGCCTTGATCTGGGAATCGAGGCGGCGACAGTTAGAACACACTGTGTATTGGTGCGGCTCTCATGACTACATCATGATGAAAGTGCGCTGACGTGCGCCTGTCGGCACTGAGCGCCACGGCGCGGACCCCACCCGCCGTGTGACGTAGGCCTGTGGCCGCCTCCGACGGCCGCCGTACCCGTCGGTCACCTGCGCCGTTCTGCAGCCCCGGCGCCGCCAGTGCGCCTCGTCTGCCGTGCCCGGTGCGCCGTGTCTGCCGCGCCCGGTCCGCCTCTAGCCGCTTCCTCCCGCTCCAGCCAACCCGGAGTACACGGCCATCCTGCTGGCCGGGCCGGGCGGCAAGGTGTGCGTCCTGAACATGCAGAGGCCGGGTCGGCAGCCGGACGGCGTGGTGCCGTGTCTGCTCAACGGCGCCAAGGTCATGGACTTCTCCTGGGACCCGTTCGACAACTCGCGCATCGCCGTCGGTGAGAGCGGCGGTGGCGCTGGCGCTGGCGTGTCGCCGGCACTGGCGGGGCAGGGGGGGGGGGGGGGGAGGCGTGCGTGTGTCTCCCGGAGACGCGGCGCAGCGGGTCACGTGGGACGCGGTGGGTGCAGCTGGCGGCCTCGTCTCTGGGTGGGTGAGTGTCGTCGGCTCGGCTGTCTGGTTTTTGCGCCGCGGCGCTCTGCGGGTGGGCGGTGTTCTCTGATCGCAGCAGTTGTAGCTGTCGAGTGCATGTTGAGACCTCATTCGTCGGTGGAAAACATTCGCTATGAAGGTCGCGCGTGAGTTCCACGCGTTCGTGACCGTGGGTTTGACGGGAGATAGTTGTCTTGTCATTCCTGTGAGCGCATACCATTGTGCCGTGGCACATGTCCGTATTGGTCACGAAGACTGACTAGTGCAGTGTTGTGAAACTCGACCCGAGTTGTACCGCACTCAACGTATGTCGTGCGTGGAAAACTGTGGGACCCGGCTATTGACAACATGCAATAACAGCGAGTGACTGGTTACGACTCCAGCTCTTATTGGCCAGTGAGCTCGGCTCTTGCCCGTCTGGTCAGCCGCTAACCTCCTGTCAGCCGCTGAGGTCGGCTTCTGCCCGTCTGGTCAGCCTCTAACCTCTTGTCAGCCGGTGAGCTCGGCTCTTTCCCGTCTGGTCAGTCGCTAACCTCTTGTCAGCCGGTGAGGCTCGGCTTCTACCCGCCTGGCCAGCCGCTGATGGTCTGTGCCGCCCTCCACGGCCAGGCTGCGATGACGGCTGCGTCCGCGTGTGGCGCATCCCGGCCGGCGGTCTGACCGAGCCGACCAACGAGTGCGAGACAACGCTGGCGGTGCACCAGGAGCGGCTGCTGACGCTGCAGTATCACCCGCTGGCCGACGGCGTGCTGGCCTCGGCCGGCCAGGACCGGCGCGTCATCGTCTGGGACCGCGAGCGGCCGCGGCTCGAGCTCGAGACCCACCCGGACCAGGTGAGCGGCCAGCGCTGGACACTCGGCCGGCACCGTCTGGTGCCCCCCATGACATGTGTTCGGGTGGTCTGTACTGCTTTCTTGGAAGTAGAAAACCCGTCCGTCGGGGTGCTTTCTCTCGGAGCAAGTTTAAAGTCTGGCGTGGTTACGGTGTTTCTGACAGGTTCCGATGTGTTTCTTTGGCCGCGCTCTCCCTCTCCTAGCAAGTTTTCAGTGTGATGTGTTCACGTTGTCTCTGACAGGTTCCGATGTGTTTATTTGTTTGGCTACGCCGCTGTACGCTTTTGGCCGCTCACCCGCCTGCCTCTAACGTTTCCCCCCAGATCTTCAGCCTGGCGTGGTCGCCGTGCGGCCGGTACCTGGCCACGCTCTGCAAGGACGCTCGCCTGCGCGTGTTCGAGCCGCGCGCCGGCCCCGAGCCGCTGCGAGTCGGGGACAGCCACCGTGGGCCACGCGGTGGCCGCGTCTGCTGGGTCCTGGGCGGCCACTACCTCATCACCACCGGCTTCGACAAGTGAGGACACGGCCCGGGACCGGGGGCGTGCTCAGGTTCGGGGACGTGGGCTTTTGTCTCTTGCGTTCAGCCGCTGCAATGGGTGATGACGCGTGATGTCACCTTCGATGGTGAAAGTGTAGGCTGGTTTCATAGCGGATAGGAGACGGATCATTAAGCACGGGCGACGTGCGGGTTAGTTCCATGGGTTTCGGTGCGGCTGAATAACGGGCAGGCATTTCCACATGCTGAGCACGATGTGACGTCACCATCGAGCTCAAGTCCCGATGTTTCGCCCGTTGGTCGGGCGTGTGCGCCGTTTCTCTGGGTGTGCCGTGCGTCCGGACCGTGCACGTGCGCCGGCTTTGTCGCGCAGGAGCTCGGAGCGCCAGATCAGCCTGTACCGGGCGTCCGACCTCGAGCGGCCGGTGACGACGCTCTCGCTGGACGTGTCGCCGTCCATCCTGATGCCCCACTACGACCCGGACACCAGCACGCTCTTCCTCACCGCCAAGGTGCGCCGCCGCCGTGCTGCCATCTGGCGCGCTGTGCGCGAACCGCGGACAGCGGCGGCACGCGGCCGTGTTTGGGTGAAGCGAGACCCGCTCTTGCTCAGTAGAGAAAGGCCAGAGTTGTCTGTGTTACCAGTCTCGATCCACCCTGACTCGTGCTCACACGGCATCTGCCGCGATACGCTGACTCAAACTCGTCGCAATGGTGCTCTCCGCGTCGTAGGCCTGCCTGGCTACTGTCCACCGCTACCCCGTCACCACCGGAGCCGTCCGCAGCGGCCGTCGGGGCGCACTGCTTGCCTGACGCGCCGCCCGCGCCGCCGACAGGGCGACACCTCGGTGCTGGGGTACGAGGTGGCCGAGGACTACCCGCACCTGTTCCCGCTGACGCCGTACAAGACGCCCAGCTGCCACCAGGGCGTGGCCTTCCTGCCCAAGTCGGTGTGCGACGTGCGCAAGGTGGAGTTCGCCCGCTGCGTGCGGCTGCTGCCGACCGCTGCCGTACCCATCTCGTTCTCCGTGCCGCGGGTCAAGGTCAGTGGCTGGCGGTCGCGGGTCTGGCGGCCACCGGACAGCGGGGCTCGTGGAGCGAATCTGGATTGCAGGAATGCTTGAGTGGACACGCCGTTGCGCCATGGCTCTCCGTACCCGGGGCTTTGGGTACTAGTTGAGGATTTGTGGACATGGCGCGGAGCTGCTGTGGTGTTCCGTGCCGTCCGGTCCGAGCAAATGCGCAGTCACCGCATTAGGGGAGATCATATCTGCCGAACTCCTCACGCACGCCGGAGCGCCCGCGTGTGCAGCGCTCCTGCGTGCTGTGTCGAGCCGTCAGCTGACCTCCAGCCTGTCGCCGCACCGGCAGGCGGACCTGTTCCAGGACGACCTGTTCCCGCCCACCCGCGTCACCTGGGAGGCCACCATGACGGCCGAGGAGTGGCTGGGAGGGGCGAACGTGCCGGCCCGCCTGCTGGACCTCCAGCCGGACGACATGGTGCCCCGTAAGCTGGCCGCTCCGGCGCTCGGACGTGGGTGGTGCTGGGGATGTGGGCTGGACAGACAGGCTGCAGATGATGAGGCGTGGTTTTGAAGTTGTAGGTGCGGGTATTTGATGGGTTGTTGTGGCTTTTAGTCTGTGCTTGCATGGTGCATACTTCGGGTTTCGCGCTGGATAGGAGGCCTTTTGGCGAGCTTGTGGTGCGTTGAGAAGTAGCGGTGTCACTGACGTGTGTACTAATGCAGTCATTAGTGTCATACGGTGTGGATGCTCTGTGCGTCTTTAGTTGTTAAGTTGGCCTCTAGTTAGTCTCGTTGCATCTGGTATCATCTTGCATTGACCCGTTATGCGGCCCGTCTGGCGTTTGCATCAGTTTAATATCCGTTTGTATTGTCATATTACGTCTGTCGTGTATTGTGATATCAGGCCATCGTGTGTGTTTATTTGTACGACATCATGTATGCCGTGTGCGGTTTTGGTGTACTTTTACCCCTGCTGGGTGCTGCGCCGGTGATATGTTTTGTCATCCGCGTCTCTTTCGCGTATTCTTGTCCCTCTGTTCGCTGTGTTCCTGCCCCTGGCGCTCCGTGAGCTGGAGCTGTGTGCGAACTTCTCTGGACTCGCTCCCCTGTACCGATTCCAGTGAGCAAGGAGAAGGGCGGTGTGGACGCGCCGAAGAAGGCGCAGCCGGCCGGCCCCAAGGCGACCAACGGCCAGCACTCCACCCCGATCTCGTCGTTCGCACCCAAACCGGACAAGAAGAAGGGCCAAGAGGTGAGCAGCACCGGCGCAGTCAGAACAGTCGCGTGGCTCGGGCGCGCTCGTGCTGGGAGTGCGCCTGTACCGGTCATTGTTGTTTTTTATGTCGCCAGTTAGGCAATCTTGCCTTTTCCAGGGGAACGTGCTGCGTTGCGCCTGGCAACGCTCGCGGTTTTTGCGCCGGCTTTGGGCGTGCTCCACCGTTATGCGGCGTTTTTGTCGCATGGAAAAACTGGTCTGTCGCTGGCCTTGAGGCGGCTCGCGTCGTCTCGATTGTCACGAGGGACTCCGACCCTTCTCATTGCCGTTGTAGTCCCGCCCTCCTTGCCTCGCATAGTTGACCCGAGGGACCAGTTGTCTTTGGAGATCAGCTGCCTAGTTCACGGGCTCTGTGTAAGCCTGCCAGTTGGCCAGGTTTGGAGGGAGGGGGGGGGGGGGGGGGGGTAGTGTTACACTGCCACCGTCACTGACCAGCTGCTGGCTGGCCTGGAGTGGACAGCAGCTGGTGCACTGCGGGCCGGCCGCCGTTGCGTGAGCGCCGCTGGGCAGTGGCTAATCCGCTCCAGTGGCGGTGTGTTGACGGGATGTCGGGTCACCAGGTGTAACCAGGCTAGTAAGAAGGCATCAAGCTCCCTCGCTGATGATCGATCCTCGTTGTGCCAGCCAGTCGTCGTGATCGGGATCACAAGTAAAGACGACAAGTACCAGAGCACATTTCATTGATCGATAACCTTTTCAATCTTTACCTGCTGTGTACTGAAGGTCACTTACGATCAGCATAAGAAGTGGCAGTGTCACCAGCCGGGCCGGTGTTGCGCGTGCCTCCTCGGCTCGGGGCCGCCGAGCCGGCCTGCTCGGCCCGGAGCGTTCGGCCTGACCCGGCGGCGGCGGCCTGTTGCAGCTGGAGTCGTCGCTCAGCGACAAGCTGGCCACCAACTTCACGCTGGAGCAGGACACCATGGAGGGCGTGGCCGAGGAGGAGTGGGACGAGTGAGCGCGCCCGAGCCGCGCAGCAGAGCCGGGGTCACGGCCGCAGCCGAACCCACGACAGGACCCGGACCCGGACCCGGACCCGGACCCGGACCCGGACCCGGACCCGGACCCGGACTTGGATCTGGACTGGATCTGGATCGGATCTGGAGCCGGACTCGGACCCGGATCTGGACCCGGACCCGCAGCCGCAGTCGCAGCCAACTGAGTGCTCGCCAGACCCTCTGTCGCGATGTCGCTGTCCGTCACACCGGTGACGGCAGCCGGCCCCCCGGTCCTGCGCACCGGGCGCCGACCCCCGACAGGCCGCGGCGGCGGCTGGCCGCTGCCGGCCTCTCCAGCCCACCTTCCAAGCAGAGACGCTTCCGGTCCGCCGTCTGAGCTGGTGGGATGCTTCGCGTTAGGGATGGAAATTCGGGAGGGGCGAGATTATCTCCACGTTCGTAGTCACGCTGCTATTTGTATTGTCGTGGTGTGCAAAGGCGATCGGGTTTTTGCGTGGTCGTGCGCGGCATGGTCGTCGTCCCCGTGCTGGAACGCGGCTGACCGAGGTCAACAATCCGCCTGGCAAATCGTTTTGTACGCTGCGTTTCACGGGAAGTGCCATTCTTTTGGGATTCGTGTACGTACCGCCTGCAGTGGTGCCACCACCGAACAAATCACCAGTGCAGGGTCCCGTGTCCCGCTAGTGAGCACCATATGCTCTGTGATACTTCGCATATGTCTTTTCTTGTATCTCAGATTTATGTTAGGCCGGGTGCTCGGCTGCCACCAAAGCATTTCCGCTGGTCTTTGGGCAGGGGCGGGCGTCGGCCCAGCGCCGCCGAATGGTCTGTGAACGTGTGGGACCAGCATGCGCTGTATCGTCGGTCATAGCTAGCTGTAAGTGCGCCCCGTGGCGCTCGACGGCGCGCGGTGCGCCCGCCCCGATCAGCCGTGGGGGACGCCCGGTGCCGGCCGCCGTCGCTTCACCTCGGCGCGGCGGGGTGTCGCTGCGGACTGCCCCGGGAGCACGCGCTTTCGGAAATCAGTCTTATTGTGCTCCAAAGGCTTCGTATTTTGTATTCTTGTGTTTAGTAGATGTCGGATGCGGTTGCAGACGGCAGCCGCCGCTGCTCGGACGTAGGGTTGTGCGCTTTGGGCGCGCGCCTCGACGGATATGGTCTTCGCTCATCCCTCGTTTGGATAGCGCGATTCTAAGACTTCGTGAGTGTACCCGGCTGCGGAGATCGAAATACTTCGCCTGCGGTTACGTGTAACGTGCTCTCGCGTCAAGTCGTGATTATGTCTCTCATCGTGATTGTCATCTCCAAATCATGTCTTTTCAGCGTTGTGCCGCCTGTCTTGGTTGCCTGCAGCATCGCTGGTTATGCTCATTTCGATTTAAACTTACTGCCACGACTGGGAAAGCCAGGCTACCCGGTCTTGCGGCATGCATGTGTACTCGCGATCCAGAAATTGTGCTTTTAACCGCCTTCCGCTGAAACAGGGAAGCACTGCCAAGTGTAGTTACTGCTTTCCCGTGGCTCCGTGCCGCCGGTTCGGCACCATTTCCTTGTGTTGGTCGGTGTGTTTTGCCGGGATCAGCAGTTCGCTTAGTTCCGCGGCCCGCCGCCGAGCAGCGCGCTAGTCGAGGCGACTAGTCGGATGAGCTTGCCGTGAGTTGCGTTCTTTTCTACCGTGTGTCCTACTTGTCGTCGCACAACCGGAGCAGAACACAGTAGTGTGTTAACTGAACTAGTTCTGAGTGTGGAAATATATCCTACAAAACGCACATTTTTTATGGTGAGCTATGATCCGAGGAAGGCGTTGCAATGGACGCGAACGCGTCAGAAGTTATCACTGCCGCTTATTGCGCTGCTTGGTAAGGGTGGGTTCCTGGGCGCCTGTATACGCTATAGCTTGGAGTGGACGTAATGACAGGCCTCGATCCGAGGACCCCGATCCAGGGACTCCAACCCGAGGGCCCCGACCTCAGGGCTCCAACCTGGGGGCCCGATCTCAAGGGCTCCGACCTTAGGGCCCCGACAAGGGGGTCTCGATCCAAGAACTCTGATCTGAGGGCTCCGACCCGAGGACCCCGACCTGAAAGCTCCGACTCTAGGGCCCCGATCCGAGTGCCCGAACCGAGCGCCGCGACTGGTATCCCCCGAGGAAGAGCCGTATATGCGCACGCAGCTATCAGCTGTCGCCCAACAAAGCTTCAAACGAAGAAGCGCAGCACGATCTCCGCACGTGCACAAACAAGACGGTTAGTTCAACACGTGTATTTTGTTACGACTACGCCCGCTCACTTGTACATCGATCGTATGGCAGGAGGGACGAAACTCGGCCGCAACACGTCAAACCCCGCCATCTCGCACCTGTGCTGTATCACTCAGACGTCCGCGCAACGTCTGGGGAGGGCTGACTCCCGTCTGCTCACAGTGCATCTCGCGGAAGTCCCTAAAACGGCGTCCTGGCCTCGCAGGCATGACGTCCCCACCCGGCCAGGAGCCGACCCTGGAGGGACAGTGCGCCGTTGCGCCGCCAGTGCCTGGACCATGTGCGCCCCCTCAGGTGGACGCGTCTCCCGGGTGTCTGTCCGCCGCGGCGCCGCGCGTCTCTGAGTTGGTCTGCGTTGGTCCCGGTGTCTCGGTCGTGTTCCCCAGCTGCCGCGCCGCCTCCGCCGTCAAGACCGGCCGTGACGGTGTTCGGTGTGATGATGACGCAACAGCTGGACGGTTCGCCACTGCGGTGCCTCCCCGGCGGGCCGCGGCGGGCTGGGACGGCCCCGCGCCGACCGGCCGGATGAGCCGCTAGACCTGGTGCCGCGGTAGATGGTTGAAGTTGGTGGCGCACGTGGCCGAGGCTCGCGTCGCAGACGAGGAGCGAGGCGCGCTCAGGTCCGTGTACGGCGAGTCGAACGGTCGCCGACCTGCGGACGGGGTCAGGTCAGAGCCGACACGTGGTGGACGGGGTCAAGTCGGGGCCAACACGCGGTGGACGGGGTCAGGTCAGCGCCGACACGTGGTGGACGGAGTCAAGTCGGGGCCAACACGCGGTGGACGGGGTCAGGTCAGCGCCGACACGTGGTGGACGGGGTCAAGTCGGGGCCAACACGCGGTGGACGGGGTCAGGTCAGCGCCGACACGTGGTGGACGGGTCAAGTCGGGGCCAACACGCGGTGGACGGGGTCAGGTCAGCGCCGACACGTGGTGGACGGGGTCAGGTCAGGGCTGACACGCGGTGGACGGGGTCAGGTCAGTGGACAGGTCAGGTCCAATTCTCAGCGGTGCTCGTGTCATTCCCCTACCGGTCCAACTGCTCATCCCGGCGTTCCCTGGCGGTCCTGACGACCCGAACATAGTGCGTGCAATGTGGCCCCTGGTCCGGGAGGTATGACATGCGCCATCAGGTACGAGCCGGGGGCGCGACACCCTCACAATCGAGGCCCGAGCCCGACGCGACACCCTCACAATCGAGGCCCGAGCCCGGCTGATGATAACGGCTGAGGGCTATCTCGTGACGACCTCGGCCACCTGTAACCGAGTCACCGATGAACAACACCGGTAAGTTTTGATTTGTGAAGTTATGACAACGCGGGCGTAATCGCGCTGATCGCAGCAATACGTTTCTGTCCGTTTTGACAAGGTGACTCAGTCCGGAGAATAACTGACATCCACTGAAGCCGGTGACTGGAGGCCCCTCTCTTCCAGACGCTCACCTATTTTAATGGTATCGAAGTCGGCGTAGGCTAACGAGCTCTGGTCATTGCCGTCTCTGTGTTCGTCTTCCCGGTTCAGGATCAGGTGAGAGTAGTCCTCCACGCCTGGAACAAGAAACAGCCGACTGTCAACAGCTGACACTGGGACCCACCACTGCGGACGCGGTATGATGACCTCTCCGCGACGGTCCGGCTTGCTGGATGTGCCCAGCACCCATTGATGCGGGTACCTAACGGTGGTCATTCAGATGCACGGTGCGCTCCTGGTTCGGCGCTATCTTCCACAGAGCGCCGTTATGCAGGGTCGGCACTCCCTCTAGCTCGTGACGGCTGTTTGCCTACGTTCTGTGGCTGTGCGAGCCGACAGGACAGATTGGCACTCCGTGACCATTGTCCTCGGCGCCCGGAAAACGAGCATTGTGTGGACCGCAGCACGCTCACGCTTTTTTCGATTTTTCCCCGGCAGCAGCGCAATTGAAGGTAATGTGATAAGGCAGCTAGACGTGACACGAGTTTCCTTAAGCCTGCGGTAGTTTGGGCAAGTCAGCCAGCGAGCGCGTTGGACGTCGTCCGTCTGTCCCAGGCTGTATCCGTTTCCCTCTACCGTCCCACGAGCGCGCCTGCAAGCCGAAGGTCGACTTCCCTCGTAGTCAACTGCAGTATTCTATGCATTCCATGCATTGAAACAATGAACTGCAAGCATCGTGAACGACACATCACGAAGAAAAAGGCGTTGCCTGCAGTCAGTTGGGGATTTTGTCTAACCAGTCCCTTTTTAACGGGGACGGGATGCAAGTTGGGAACGCGGTGCTAACACGGAGCCATAGCTCTGACGACAGAGCGCGATGGCTCGCCCGGCAGCGCCCCTCCCCACTCCCCTCCCAGCTCTGGCCGCGCCCCGAGCGGCTGCGTCTGCTCCGAATACGTCCGAAAACAAACAGCCGGCAGACCCAGACATCAAACATCGGGTGTGTATGGGCTCCCCCACGCCTCGCCCGGAGCCCCAGGACGGCGGGGGGCGGAGTGGTGAGGTGATGGGAGAATTCGTGGGAGGCTGGAGACACGCTCACAGGCCGCTGAAGCGGGGAATCTAGGAGTTAATGTCCGCTCCGCCACATCAGCTCCTAGATTAACAGCTCTCGAACATCACAGCAAGTCCATAACAGCTGCCGGATTTTATTGCTGACATGGCGACAGTAACCGTCGAATCCTTCTCGCCTGGCTTTCTCTCCCGCGCAGGGAAGGAAAATGTCGACAGATGTTACACTAATTATTGTCTGGTCTCCTAGCTTTAGACACCACGGCGGGGAGGTGCTCAACCAATCATCCATGCTTCATTTCGCCGGAATGCTTTTACGAAATAGTACAGGGGCACTCCGTGAGCCAAGCCCATATGGAATTTTCCCCGAGCATGAATCTATTTCGGTCTCTCCGCCATGCCGGATACCGGCGCTCCCCACCCCGTCCGTCTCTCATGCTGGCTAATCCTCAGATCCACCGCCTCGCCTCGCTCGCCTGAGATGGGGTCGGCGGGGGCGAGCAGGACAAACTGCGGAACACCTGCGCCGTGCGGCCCCCACTTCGGACGACACAGGAGCGCGGAAGTGGCTCGGGCGGGCGCGTGCCGCCGCCGAGGCCCGGATGCGATGCGCGAGGACACCCTGCGAAGGCCGCCGCCCGGCCGGCCCTGGTCGCACCAGCCGCCCCGCCCAGGACGGTCGAGCCCGGGTCCGCCGGTGATGGCGGGGCCGAGCTCGGGTACGGCTTACTGTCCGTGGCCGAATTCGGCTGGCGGCGTACGCCTACGGCTTCTTGTAAGATCTCCGTCCTATACCGATTTTAACCGCAGGCTTTGTTGATGCCTTTGGCCGCGCGGGATTCCCGGACACAGCTCTGATGGTGCTGCGCAGTCTCCCGAAACAAATCCTCGTTTTCAGAGCGCTGGTTTGGCCGCAGATCAGCTTGGGTCTTTCCATTATTTGTGTGAAACTTGATACACGCTTCCCCTGGATTGTCCGGTTAACTGTGACGTCATACATAACTTGTTCGTAGCCGTAGGGCTCGAAATGCTCAACTTTGTCTTCGGAGGGCTCACGTTGAGATAGGCGGCTCAACATGAAGCTGATCATTGAAAAGACTGTCTTTAAAAGGAGCTTTGACAGATAAGGCTATTTTACGCCTAGCTGCAGGAGCAGCAGTGCGCCACCGGTACACGACCGACGAGGATGCATGATCGATGGCGCTCTATGCAAGCGCACACCTCCGCCGCGCCAGCTCAGACCACTTTAAAATCGGCATGTTTCGTCAGCCGCCTCGATGCGGACTTTGGAGTGATGTTGCTATCACTGCGCGCCTCGCGCTGCACGTAGCAGCCTCCCCGGGACGCCCCGGCGCGTGGCAGCCAACCGCAGGTCCCGTCGTCGGCCGCACGTCAGTCTCGCGGTCTATCCCGGGTTTGTCCCCGGTCTGCCCCTGCTCGCTCCGGTCGGTCCGCTCGGTCCCGAGCGCGATGCAGCGTCACGACCGACCGGGGGCCGCCTGCAGCCCCTCCTCGGCCCTGCAACACGGCCGACCCCGGCGCCGCCTGGCTCGGTGCCGATCTGCCGCCCCGCGGCGCGCGCCGACACCATGCCGGCGCGGAGCGTCCGGCCCCGTGTGCGGACAGCCCCGACCCCCGTGCTCGGACTGCCCCGACCCCGTGTTCGGACGGCCCGGGTGCTGCCGCTGGCCGGCTGATGGCAGATCGCCAGACGATACGTGACGCCGTCAGGTGTCCGCTGCGGACCGCTGCGCCGGCCGCTGGACCTGTCGCCGGGTGGCACCAGCCGCACGTCCCCTCGCTGATGCCGCCGGACGGCAGCGTCGGCGCCGCGGCCGACCAGCCGCCGCAGCGGGGCACGATCGCGGCTGCTGCTGGCTGCAGCGAGAGCCACCGGTCTCGGCGCGGGACGCCACAGGTGGCGTCAGTGGATGCTGCTTTGAGCGGCGGCTGCAGCGGAGGATGTGCTCTTGTGGTTAGGTTCAGGTTTGCAAGGGATAAGTGATGCTGAAATTGGGAATAAGGAAAGCTTTGGGCCGCGGAGAGTGCAGGAACGGTCCAACTGGATTGTCGAGTATGACCATGTAAAGCTCTCTATTTGTGGTAGAAAAGCCGTGTTTTGAAGAGAAGGTCCAATGCGTGTTCATACCGACTGCAAATACGCTTATCTGTACTTGTCTGAGTCCATATGTAGCCGGAAATTACTGTCTGTCCAGTTATAGCTTTTTAACTTTTGCGTTGCGGTGAAAGGCGGAACTGAGGTTGACAAACGGACAAAAACGTGCCTCGCTCTAAATACCACTGCCATCCCTGACCTGACTCACACACTGCATGCCGTGGACGGAGCGTGAAGATCAGAAGAACCGGATCCAGCCAGTGCATGCGCTCGGGGGTCTGCTTTCTAGGATGCTAGGCCTGACTGCCGACGACTCTAAACCCCCATGACATGAAACAAAGAATCCGAAATAACCAGGCCATCGCCACGAATCCATTACGCGGCCACCGAGAGGCGCTTGACACAGCGATTCGGTTTTCCAGAGTACCTCATGCCTCCTAGTGCTACGCGCAGTGTGCGTCAGGTCAGATGGCGCCAGCGACCGAAATGACGCCGCCTGCAGCGTAAAGCCAGCCTCCCGCGTCCCGAACCGTGTCACCTGACCATGGAAAGTCACGCGCACGAACGAAGGGGTGGTGCGTCTTCCTATGCCTCACCGCGTGGCTCGTCTCCACCGGAATAAACAGCCCGTCTCGGCCGTCATGGTGACGACCTCCAGCGGCGAGGTCACCGCGCGCTACAGCAGGCGGGCCAGCAGACGGCGCCTGATGAGGAGACCAGACGCCGGGCCGACGCAGCGGCGCGGCGCGCGAGCCGTCCCCAGACGCTGACGTCGCGTCAGTGAGAAGTCGCTAGATCTGTAGGCGCCATCGAGAAGTCGCTAGACCTACACACCGAGGTCGACAGATCTACAGACGTAACTGAGAGATCGCCAGATCTGCAGAGGTCACTGAGAAGTCGCCAGGTCTACAGACGCCGCTGAGAGGTCGACGGATCCACAGACGTCACTGAGAGGTCGCCAGACCTGCACACATCACTGAGAAGTCGCCAGATCTGCAGACACTGAAGGGATGCCGACGGCCGGCGATCTGTGCGGAGTTGCCGTTCTATTTCCGGACTGTGCGCGTACGTCGGCCAGGGGAGTGTGGTGATAACCTACAAACGTGCACGGGAGATCGAGCGGCGTGGAGTGGGACGAGGCAGCGCGGCTTCGTCGCAGTGAATCACGCCGTGTCCCGCCCGATTCGCAGCCAGCGCGCCTTTTTAGCTTAGGGTGGGGTAACAATTGACTGTCCTCAGACCCCCTGACGAGGGGTCCAGCGGAGGGGAGCGCCCATTATAATCGATTAGCACGGCGATGACGCATAGCCCTCCCCAGCACCCGCAATGGACCGCTGGAGGGAACACGTCATCAGGTCGACATGGGAGGGGTGTTTGCCCAAGTGGTGGGACGACTAGCTCAAATTTTTACCACAAAAAGCGTGGGCGTATTGATCGCGGATCCTGATGAACACGTTTTCAGAGAACGGCACCATTAGGAGCCCAGTTTTCCATTCAAAACCAGTCGTGTGCTCGAGGGTCCCAGTCGTGAGCTCCTACTCTCAAGCATGGTGACCCGAAAACCAGCTTCCTGTGTCCATGCAGCTGGTTATCGCCATGCACCCACGTCGATGGCGACAACGGGCCGTTGTGCTGGATTACGCTGCCTGCGACGAACACATTCTTAGTTCAGCGTGTAGTGTTGCTTTGGTTTATGATTCAGCGGAGTTCGGCTGGAGCATGAGTCAGCAGCCCGGCACCGCCCGGGATGGTGGACGGGCGGCGGATGATGACGTCATGGGCTGTCCCGACAGACTGGTTCGGCTCTACACGGGAGCGTGAATTGCCTCAGTTCAGGGAGCGGGACTATTCGGAGGTAGCCGGGCCACGGGTCAGCCGTGCCCACCGGAAGGGGTGAGACGCTGCCAGCCTGCTGACATCTGACGAAATGCTGCGGAGGAAACATCGCAG